CAACCTGATTAGATCAAGATTTTAGAATGATTACTCTGGCAATGCTGTGGAAAATAGATTGGAAACAGAGGAGACCCAAGCCTGGGGAATCAGTTGGTCTACTGCAGTAGTCCTAACAAGGAGTGATGGGGTCCTGCCTTGAGCATTGTGGAGAGAGAGGAGAAGACATACAGAAGAGCTACTTTGAAGGTATACTTAGTCCAGCTTAGTTGAGAACAACATATGGGCGGCTAGCAATGAATCTAAGATGACCCAAGTAATCTGTATTTGGAAATTTGGAATAGTAGATAACACATTATTCGATGTCAAAGAGTAATAGGAGGAGAAGCATTTTGAGTAGAAAGATGTGTTCAAAATTTAAGAACTGACAGTGTAGCCACGTGGAGATAACTAAAAAGCTATTTGAATATCTGAGTAAAATCTGGGTGGAAAATAAAATGCCATTAATGAAAAGCATCTTAGAGGTTAACCTATAATTTCTATGGAAATATAGGAATTAGTTTTCATATCCTTAATAGCAATGGCAAAAACTTTTAGCTATACATATATTTAATCAGAATGTTTTTTTCATATCCCTGAATGGTAATGACAAAACCTTTTAGCTACACACATAATTAATAAATGCATTTAATAGATACTTATGTTAAATAAAACAAGACAAAAACCAAGAACAACAAATTGAGTGCCAGATAGGTTGTATTGTAGCCAATACACTGAAACCCTGCTGGAAGAATTGCAAATGGAAATTACATTTTGGGAAGTATATATGTCAATATGTAGCAAGAGTTATAAAGATGATCATATGATTTTGCCTAGTAATCCTACTTCTGGTGATTAAAAGCAAAAGATTCAGTGTAATTAATCAAAATTTACATTACGGATGTGGCCTATATAACAACAAGTTATAAGGGGATGGTTTAAGTGCCTGTGCATGTGTTTATTTAGAGTAGAAACATGAAAACTATGAAGAAACATGGCAGCATATATACATAGATGTAAAAATAGCATCCCTTTACCTCCCTAAGGCGTCACTGGGCTTAGGATCCACAGTGGTGGAAGCCTCATGTCACAGCTGATGTTACATGAAGCAGGTGAGGGAGATGGACCACAGGGACCACTCCACCTTGTTTCCTTTACACTGTCCCTGTGCTGGGCCATGACACTGGCATGGCCTTGGGGCATGTGTGCAGTGGAAGGTTTGAATTTAGACTGGTGGCAGGAGATGAGACAACTACGTTTCTTCTGTGCACATATTTGGTTTCACGGACACATTAACCACAGGAGGAGGAGAAAAGGCCACAAGGTGTTGGGTTAGTATGAGTGGGGACAAAGGAACTTTTTTTTTTTAACCAAAGAGAGCATCAGTATTGCAAAGACTTTCCGTGATTCCACACCCACCTCGAAAGCGCCTTCTCACCACAGGAAGTGCGCTGATCACTGGAGGAATAAAGGAGACTGAAAGGATCAGTTCCTCAGCCTCTCACTGCACAGCTCATCAGGACCTCAGCCATGAGACTTCTCATCCTGGCCTTCCTCGGGATCTGCTGTCTCGCTGCATACACTGTGGAAGGTAAGTCAAAAGCTTATTTATGAGATAAGGAGCATCTATGTATGCAGGCAGTGGCCACACATTTTGGTTTTGACTCAAGCTTTGACTGCAGTAAACTTTCGCCCAGCTTAGCCTCAGACTTCCCTAGTGAAAATGGGAGTAATTTGACTCTAGGAGACTTTGTAGATTTTGAAGATAGAACTTGGTCACAATCTGGGCTCCTATTTTTCACAATTGGGTGATTTGGGGTAAATTTCTTCACCTCTCTGTGCCTATGCTTACTTATCTATAAGAAGAATGTAATAACCGATACACTTACCTGGGATTAAAATGAAATAAATCTTATAATCACTTATCAGCTTTCCGCACAAGTCCTAACTTCTTGATTAATGTTAGCTGTGGAATGGTGATGACAACTTTGAAGCTTTTTGCCTATTTAGTATTGATCTTGAAAATTCTCCAAATTTTGACAGTTCACAATGCGGGAATGAGCTAGAGGGTGTATGTTCTGAGGGAAATCAATGTTTTCTATGAAAACAAAAATGACTGGTAGCTCATACCTTCATACCCAGGAAATCAATATTACCTTTAAGTGTGTAGGAGAGTCTATTATTACTTCTATGAATGTTGTTCCCACTGATGATCAATTTCTTGAGTTTATAAGAGACCGTAAGTGCTAACAAATATCAATGTCTTATATACAATCAAATAAACCTGCAAGACATCCCTAGATGAGACTTAACTACACTGAGACTTACCTGAGCATTCTACACATATTTCTTAAAGGATCATTTTTTCCCAGCTGGTTGGAGTGTATTTCTCCTTGTGGCTCTGGCAACAAGAGAGAATATCCTTTGGGTATAATTAATGTTTCAGTTAACTCTCCTTTCAACCTCCTAATCCGTAGACTTATTACTTAGGCTAGAATATCTGAACCTGATCGTGGAAGCCAAGGGTGTCCGTAAATAGAGATGGTAATGTCTGTAACTCCCTGAAATTGTGCCCCAGATAAAAAAATATTGATGGATGAAACAAAATGTTTAGGCCAAATGTTGTCTTAACCATGGCTGGCTGGCATTTTTCTGAGACAATATTCTGCCATTTGGTGGAAACCCATGTACGGGTAGGGGAAATAAGACTGAGGAAGACTGTAGACACTTCCGTATTTCCCTCTTTCACTGCGTTCAGAGACAGTTCAGCATTAAAAGTAAGTTGGCAAATGTAGAGGATTAAGAAGGTACAGGCTGGATATTGTGTGATGGAGAGAAGGAGAGCTGAAGAGCAATGGTAGTGAACACCTGTTCAGTTTCATGTTTATAAAAAGCCTTCAGATACCAGCAACACTATAGCTCAAACTTCATCATCATTGGCTACTATTTAAGATGCTTTTCTTGCTGAATATTTCTCTGAGAAATATTCTCTGAGAATACTTGCTTCCCTGAGTAGCAAATGCCAGTCTCCAGCTTAGGAATAAATCAGCACTTAGAAACCCTTTTTAGATTTTAGAAAACCCTTACTATTATTAACTCTCCCAAGTTATTTTCCCTTCTCCAATGTAAGATGTTCTCTAAACTTAGAAAGTTTAATCCTCTGGGGCCATTTCTATTGAGGATGAGTATGTAATGAACTAGTTCCCTTACATATTTCACATTTTACCATTTAAAATGAGGACACCTTTATTTATTCAGTCAAAAATGAACTGCCTCTCCCACATTTAATGTTGTCTTCCCCAAATTACTCTTTATCAGATCACTCTTTATTCTATTTACAGCACTCTAACATTGATAGTATTAACAATTATATTTTATTTTTGTTTGTTTGGTTTTCTTTACCAGGTGTGGGGACTGAAGTCCTAGACAAGACCATCTGTGTGAGTCTGACTACCCAGCGACTGCCAATTAAAAAACTCAAGACCTACAACATCAAGGAGGGCCCCATGAAAGCAGTGATGTGAGTTGCTCTCCCCCAAATCTGGGCTTGATGGAACACAGTATATAGAAATGCTGTCCTCCTCAGGAAAAATGTCAACAAGGAGGAAAACCTCAACATAGCCAATAGTCTTTCTGTTTTTCCATATGAACCATGTCTTTATGTAGCCCCAAACAATGTTTATGACAAAAAATTGGCAACCAAGTGAAGAATATCACCCTCCTTTCTGATTTATATTAGCAGAAGAATCTAACTGGGAACCAGATGAATAATATGGTCAGTCCCAAGGGTTAGGTTTAGAGCTGGCTGGTTCAGATCAGGATTTGACCATAGAGACACACTGGTGTGGGATGCCTCCCTTCCCATCCTTCCCCTTCCCTGCCTTTCTCTGCCCTTATGGTGGGCTGGAGTCGAGTGCCATATTTTATCAGTTGCCGTATCTCGAGGAATAGTGTCAACAACTAGCCTACATGGCACCGTTCTCTTTCCAGGATCTCATTTTCAGAATAGTAACTCTTCCCAACACACAATTGCAACTTTACCCCCAAAACTATGACAAAGGAATTACCTTTGTCCAGAAAATAAGATGAGTGTGTTTAAATTTGAAAAAGAAGATGATATGTAATAATTGGACTAGATGACCTCAAATGTCCAGTTTAATTACATCACCTGGTAGCAATGATGAGAAAAGGAGCCTGCAATTTATGCTGAGCCAGGGACCTGGGTATTACCTGATGCTATTTCTCCGTTTTGGGAAAATACATTGCGGAGGAAAGATTTTCATTTATGTTCTCCTGAATCTGAAAGACTGTTTTGTCCAGTCATTTCTGCACAAGATCTCTTATATATGATCTGATCTTAACTTCTGGTCCCAAGGCTTTGAGGATGTGACTAACTTTGTCTATTTTTTCTTTGCATTGTAGATTTATTACCAGACGTGGCCTTAAAGTCTGTGCTGATCCACAAGTTGAATGGGTGAAAAAAACAGTCCGAACAATAGACAAGTCCACCAGGAGAAATGTGAGCCAGACCAAGCCTACAGGAGCCCAACAATCCAGCAATACAGCTGTGACCCTGAGTGGGTAGTGACCCTCTGGCATCTTTTCCCCTCACTAGCCAGGCAGCTCGTTTCCCTTTAAAGCTCATGAACTAATTATGTTATATTCACCTTTAATAAAAGTGCTGCATGAGTCAAATTATTTTTTTATATTTTTTATGTCTTTCATATTAATTTAGATGCTCTAATTAATAAATATTTATTAATAAGAACAGTCCCAAAGTTTATTCATTACATATTGGGAAAGATAATACATCCTTTGTGTTCTATTTCTGTCCTAACTGTACTTCGTTGATGGTATCCGTGATGGGAGAGATTTTGGTCAGTGTTTATCAGAGATGAAAGCTATATTCATCATTCTAAGGTTCTAGAGTGAAATGGTTCTCTACACATGAGTCATAGTTGACACCTCTGATAATGACAATTTAATATCTATTTCATCCTACACATGAGTCAGAGTTGACACCTGTGATAATGACAATTTAATATCTATTTCAACCTGTCTTCATAATGGAGTTCTTTTTTTTATGGAATAAGCAAGAAAATCATCCAACAGTTATTTGGTCCCCATACTGAGGGTTTGCTACTCAAAAAGTGGCTTCATTCAAGTTTGATCTGGAGCAAATACATACCTCTGTGTTTCATTTGATGTCCTGTAAAGGAAAGAAAACAAATATAACTTGCCACTTCTTTCATTTGCCAAAGTAGCAAGGATTAGACTTTTGATGAAAAGATACTTCATTCAAACAAAGATCAGTTCTCCTCAAATTGGGCAATGATCTCACTGTCTTTCTGTGATTTCCATAATTGTCACTACTCTAGTTATCATACAAGTCATGCTTTTTTTTTTTTTTTTTTTTGCCAGTAAGGTTTTAACGTCCCAAACTGTCACCTGGAACATTTTTTGAATGTGATCACAATTTGCAGTAAAGTTTTAATTAAAGTTACTTCACCTGGTCACTAAACACCCCAGACTCATGCCCTCCTGTTCTTATTAAATTGCTAATTTGATTCGTGTTTAAGACTCTTCTATCCAAGTAGCTGATGATGTACACGTTCACTTCTATCTGACTTTAAATAGTTAAGAACTGATCAGACCTTGATAACTTCAAGGGAAGAGAAAGGACTAACTGTTTTCTAGTCCTAAGGGGACACTCAACAATGTCAAGTATTTTTAGAGTGTTACCTGAGGGCAGTTTGTTGGAATCAGCTTACTTCTAATCTCATCCAACTAGTGAACCACAGAGGAAACCATTAAAACACTGCCTCATAGTGAAAAGTGGGGTCATCTACCCTTCCTTATTGCTATTTGCCCACAATAATTTTCAAAGCTGGTTTTTAAGGAAACACTGAGAAGAAAACACCTGTTTTATGAGGGGTGAAACATAGCAAAGTCAAGTCACAGTAGATGAAAGGAAAGTTTCCTGAATGAACATGTACTTGCATTCCCCAAATGTCTCCCAAACCCTAGAGGTTTTCATGAGATAATAATAGTACGACATGTGGAAGGATATGGGTAAACACATTTTACTAACTTGGCACATTATCTAAGGTGGCTATGTGATGTTAAGTGGTTTCAACCAAATAGTGCACATAACTTTTAACTAATTGACTGGATGTTTTGAATCATTTAGGTAAGACCTGTGTCTACTACCATAGTGCTGTGGTTTAATGGATTTCAATTCAATTCAAAGAAATAATCTAAGAAGAAGAGATCTCAAAATATTAATTTTTTTAGTGGCTGGTGACTCCCCTTTTGTGCTCTTGTGGTGTCTTATACTTAACTTTAACCTAAAACTTACCAATTTATATTGAAATTGCTTATTTTCCTGTCTGTGCTTCCCCCACCCCAATCCTGAAATTAGACTAGAAGCTGCTTGTGTGTATTATTACACCAGGTCCCCAGTGCCTAGCATAGAACTGTGTGTGGGGAGTCAATTGATATTTGTTGGATGAATGGGAGGAATAACATATATTACATTATTTCCTTCATTCTACTCTTTCATATTTCTAAAATTATATATAACACAAAATAAACTTTATTAACAGAAAGTTCAATTCAGCAAACATTTTTGGGTACTTGCTATAAGACAGGCACTGTGTTAAGCTTCGTATACATCAAGATAAGTAAAACACCACTTCTGCTCTCCAGGAAATCACAGTCCAGCGGATGACACTATGATGTAAGAAAACCAATTGTAGTCGAGTGTTTGAAACAGGTAATAATATGGGCATGCTCAAGAGAGAAGGGAATAATTATCCTGAGAATGTTCTCTAAATTTTTTTCTGAATTTGTATATAATTATGAATGACAATTATTAATATGAAATGGAGGATGCATCCTAAGTTGGTTTGAAGAAAGATGATGTCACATATTTCTCTCTTCTCTAGGAAATTCTTCCACTGTGATTGTAATATTTGTAGAGTATTCTATTCTTTCCTAGATATTTGATGTAACAATACAGTGATTATAAAACTGTTACTGCAATTTAATTGGTGAGAATACTGAGCCACAGAGAGCTCGATTGTCTTGGCTAAGAGCACACAGTTATTGAGAAACTGAACCTGATCTCAGATAGCGACTTTCTGTGATATCTCAGCCTCAGGAAGGAGAGTGATAATGTACAAGTCCTCTTAGAGTGGGTATGATGTAGGCAGTCTCTGAGCAGGGCCACATTATCTCACCAGTCTCAGATTTTTAAAAATAAATTAGAAGTATTTGAAGACTATAACAAGTACTTCCCATTTGAGTTTTTCGATGCAATGATTTAAAAAATATTTTTATTTTATCAAACTAATACATGAACATGGTCAAAAGTTTAAGTAGTACAAAAGGAGTACTAATGAAAATAGGTAATTCCCTGCCCTATTATTCCTGTTTTCTAACCTTCCTCCTCACAGACAACTGCTTTAACTCTTTTAGCTGATGGTTCTTCTGATAGTCACCTTCAAATCACCAATGTTTGGTCACCATTAATTCCTGGGCTATGAATTTTGGGCATTGTTTGTGGCTGCCTTTATGATACATGAAGATTTAGTTCACTTCTTCCATTCTCTACATATAATTATGTTGATATTTTAATTATCTATGTTTATAGATTTAGGTAATATACCTATCATTTATTTCTTATTTGGTCAACTGTGGACAATACTTAATGACTTTCCATTTTGTAATATTGTTCTGTTGTCTATAGCAAATACTCAAATAGTTTTTACTATGTAACCAGCACTATTTCATTGATTTGCAAATGTTAAGACATTTAATCACATTATAGACCTCAGTTAAAGACAAAACACCTAAGACATAAACTATTGGCTTGTGTTGGATAGAGTTCAGATTTGAACCCATGGAAGCCTGGCTCCAAGTTCATGCTCTTGACCACTATGTCATGCTGCCTTCCTCGCTTTAGGAGCCAGTTTCCTGAAGACCAAACCATATATAGTATATCCATGAAAAGTCTACTAAGACCTACATAATATTTTCATTTAACCAACCTAATTAACTAATTAGCTCATTCATTCAGTAAATATTTGTTGAGAGTCTATTATATGCCAGAGGCTGTAACCATAAGCAGAACAAAGCCCCTGCTTTCACAGAGCTTACATTCTGATAAGATGTGCCTTCTATTCCTTACTCCTGGGTACTTATTTATTTATATTTATTTTTTTTATATTGAAGTATAGTTGATTTACAATGTTGTGTTATTACTGCTGTACAGCTAAGTGATTCAGTTTTTTATATATGTGTATATTATATATGTATATATATATTCTTTTTTATATTCGTTTCCATTATGGTTTATCACAGGAGATTGAGTATAGTTCTCTGTGCTATACAGTAGGACTTTGTTGTTTATCCACTCTATAGATAATAGTTTGCATATGCTAACCCCAACCTTCCACTCTACCCCAGGGTTCTTTTATCTACTCACTCAACCAACAGATTCTTATTGAGTGCCTAACGTAGTTCAGACATTTTGCTGAGCACTGGAACGCAGTGGTGAAACCAGACGCAATCCTCACCTTCAGGGAGCTTACCCAACTATGCAGACAATTTCAACAATACTGTAACCTGTGATGATAGGGGAAGCAGGGAGTGTGAAGTTTGGGCAGAAAGGAGCAAACCTGTCCAGGTCTTAGCAGGTGGAGAGGGTCAGGACAGGCTTCCCCTTGAAAATAGCTTTTAACCTGAGACCTAAAGAATGAGTCAGAGTTATCCAGGGGAGTTCAGTGTAATCCAGGCAAAGGAACAAGCAACGCATGAAAAGATCAGCAGGCGAGAGAAATCCAGATGCATTAAGGAAATGAAAGTAGTTTAATATGACTGAGGGACAAAGCTAAGCTTTGACAAAAAAGAGAGTGTGAGCAAAAGGTGAGGTTAGAGAGAGGGAGATCACCAATGGCTTTGTCTGCCAGATGGAGGAGTTTTACTCCATCCTAAACGTAGTGGGAAATGACACTGGCTGCCAGGTGGTAAACGGTGTGCAGAGAGGAAGACAGGAGCTGGGAAGACAGTTGGGAAGTGGTTCTGGGCCTGATACCTTTTGAACTTGGCCTGGCATGCTGTGACACATTTTTCCTTTTCCTCATGTTTTTTTTTTTTTCTGCTTAGCCCGGGAGCACGTTAACGATGCATAATTGCCTAACTCTGGCTGTGTAGCCCCGCTGTACATGCCAAATGCCTCAGACCAGCAAATCCAATCACTGCTTCTTTGGATGTGGGGAGCCAGGTTTGGGATGGGAAAATATTGTATTTATGGGACTTGCTTTATTATTTACACTTTTATTGGCTGAGCTGAGATTGGATCTGTGTAGCCAAGATTGAAGCTAACCACCAAGAGGAAGGAGAAGGCAGGGTTGAGAGGCAATAAACTTGACATCAGTTATTCAATTTCCTGAATATTTGTGGAGCACCTGCATACTACAAGGAGCACAGGATCTAGTCTACTATCATAAAGCCCATGATCTCATGGGGAGAAAGTGCAGTCACCAAAGCCTTTCCCACTTGAATGTTCCAAACAACTTAGCTCAGGGATCACCTCCTCTTAGAGACCTTTGTGATGTCCCCAGCCTAGGTGACACCCCTCTCATGGGCCCACTCAGCCCCTGGGCTTACCTCTACTATCATTCATATCACTCTGAAATACAAATTTATTTTTCTTTACTTTCTATCTTACTTAGTAGCCAGGGTAGGGACTGCGGATTTGATCTC